CACTGTTTTTCCCAATGTGTAAAACATTTATGAAATATTAATATTTTGGAACAAATAAAGGTGGCACTGTCAATATCATCAAGACAAACTTGAAACTGTTTAAGATCCATAAGCAATGCAATGAGTCAATCAATTGTGTAAAATAAAGTCCCAGATAGCAGTACAGCATCGTGTGTTCAACAGACTGAGGAAAAGAAATGGTTTACAAAAGAAAAATAGAAAAGAAAGAAACTTTTAAAAATAATCCTAATGGAATAGTAATGGTGACAATAATTTACAGAAAATTCAAAATACTACAACCAAGCAAACCAATGATTCCTGAGAAGTACTGGTAAAATTATGAGCAATAAAAAACGAGTCACAGGACTGTCACCATCTCTGTGTGCAGAAGGAAAAGGAAATCAGTGAGACACACCAGAACTGCCATTGCCCATGTTTATCTAATAGGGATGTCTAGATTCTCATTATTTAAATAAAGTATTGCTTTACAGAAAGAATTACCTTGACTTCTTCAGAGCATTTCACCCCTTCACTCAGATTTTTTGAACCATAATTTAAAATCTTAATCTCAAATCATAAAATAAAAATTCAAATACATGGGCAAACTGGAATTGTATGGCATCAAGATTTTATGAAAGAGACAACAGAAAAACAGCATGTCAGTAGCCTATTTTACTCACAGGTCACAGGGAAACTGAAACATTAGAATCAATGTATTAATGCACTTGGAAAACACTCTTATTGTAAAGCTGCACCTTCCATGGGTCATTCCTAAGCAGTGAATGAGGACATCCTGAGCAGCTGAGGAGAATTTCCTGTGAGGTTAATGCACACTATGTAACTTTTTCACAGTGTGGAAATGCTCACTCTTCAGGATCATGATTCTCACCAATGAACAACACATAGCTATAGTCTGTTTAAGGTGCTAACCTATAATGTCTTTTTTCTTTTTTTTATTATTAGTTGTTCAAAACATTACAAAGCTCTTGACATATCATATTTCATACATTTGATTCAAGTGGGTTATGAACTCCCATTTTTACCCCTTATACATATTGCAGAATCACATCGGTTACACATCCACGTTTTTACATACTGCCATACTAGTGTCTGTTGTATTCTGCTGCCTTTCCTATCCTCTACTATCCCCCCTCCCCTCCCATCTTCTCTCTCTACCCCATCTACTGTAATTCATTTCTCTCTCTTGTTTTTTTTTATTTTCCCTTTCCCCCTCACTTCCTCTTATATGTAATTTTGTATAATAATGAGGGTTTCCTTCCATTTCCATGCAATTTCCCTTCTCTCTTTTTTCTACAAACACTTCTAACAACAAAGAGTGTGAATTTGCAGAATATCAACCAATGTACTAAAAACCAGTTATCCAATAAATAATTCAATTTTGACCCTGGCCAGTAGAAATATCACAAGTTTGGGGCTCAAACCTGCAGGATTTCACCTAACTGGGAATCCAGTCACAAGCCCTGGGATAGCATTTATACCTCTTATCCACTTTCTATAAATTGGGGGACCTACAACTACCTAAAATCTTGAATAATCTGATATAACTATTCAGAATATAGGAAAACACTTTATTATGTATACAAGCTTCTCGTAACTTAGGAAATTTAACACATAGAAAAGATGTACAGAACATGGAAAGTGGCAGAAGAAGATGTGGCAGGCTGGCAGGATGTGGAATTAGATGGATTTTATTTCCCTAGATACATGTATGATTGCACGACTAATGTAACTCTGCATCATGTACAGCCAGAGGAAAGAGCATTTGTGCCCCAATTGTGTACAATGTGTCAGAATACATTCTGTTCTCATGTACAACTAATCAGAATAAATAAAAAATATAGAATAAAAAAGTTCCACCCCCCAAGAAAAATTTCAGCATGTTTTGTTTTAATTGAAGAAGTGACCAAAGCAAAGAGTTCTAAAATTCTTCTGGAAAGTTAAATATATATTAAACTAGTCAAGAGATCTCTGAACTGTAAGAGGAAAAGAAGCAGATATCATTACCTGACACTAATATATAGTATTAAACTACAGTATTGCAAAAATAAAGACTCAGAATCACAGAAATTCCATAGATAAATACATATGTACATAAATATCATTTGTATTGTTAAATGCAATGGAAGGCCCTACATACATCCAACTCCATCAAGGAAAGTATTTAGTGTGAATGACTGACACAACCCAACCTAAAGGTAGATGTTAGAACTGGAGGCAAAGATCACTGGCAGTCTGTGTGCAGCATGGGTATAGCTCTGAGATTATGGCACAGTACCCCCCCAAAGCAGATGTTAAGTAGGATGATATTCAAAATAGAGCAGAATAAGTGGCCCTGAATCTCTATCTTGACTCTCAAAACATCTGTTCCTGTTTGGAGACCCTCTTAAACAGACTCATAAATTATGAGTTCAGAAACTTATATACAGTGGACAACTGAGAAAATATCTACCATCAGATAAGCAGGAAAATTTGGGGCACATTTAAGTATGATTTCTGCCTTAAGCCATCTGCATATAATCGAGACAGAATACCCCAAATCCAGTGTCACCCTGAGCAGAGAAGATTGGGGTCATAAATATAGTATATTTAACTGTAAATCGCTTGTAAGTTTGGATCTTAATTTATCTGGTGCTCAGAGAGAAAGGAACTAGATAGACACAATTATTGCGAGCAGAGGAAAAAATGGTGGTTTTCTATGGCTATCCACAATCCCTGGGCTTCACTCCCTGGGATGAGAGCAGAGGAAGAGTTAAATCTCCAGGGTCCCAATTTATCCCTAGAAGGGATTTGCCAACAAACTCTGCAAACTGCTGTTGCTAACAGCTGAGCTTCTATGTGGCCAGCCCCAGAGTTAACAGGGAAACACAGTTCACCACAGGAAGCCCAAGTGGGAGTGCAGCACTTCCTGCACCCATTCCTCCAGCTCCTCAGTAGAAACGCAAGGCCTGCCAATTCTTTCTCTAAGAAATCGGACCATGTACCAAATACCCCAACTTTAACTCATTCCATTCAATGGACTACATCTCAAGCCCCCAAATTTTGGGAGAGATAGCAATTGTGTGTGTATCTCCCTACATCACAGAGGAGTGGCTTCACATTGGTGTGCATGCACTTCCATAGACTACAATCCCCCCAAGGAGTGAAGAAAAAGGGTTAAAATCACAAGTCCCTAGTTTGGTTTTGTGTCACTGTTGTTATTTTGTACCAGGAAGTGAGCCATGAGCATTTTACCACTGAATCATGTCCCTGGTCCTTTTATTATTTTTTATTTTGAGAAAGGGTCATACTCAGCTGCTTAGGGTCTTTGCTAAGTTGCTTAGGCTGGCTTTGAACTTGCAATCCTCCTGCCTTAGCCTCCCCAGCTGTGGGGATTTTAGGCATGCACCAGAAAGTCCATCTACAGATCCCTGTTTATTTCATTTATTTCTAGAAATGGTTCAAAATATCTTCCAGTGGCTACTTGGCAGCCTGAATTCTAGGAAATTTGCATCAGGAATTTAGTGCACCAGTCAAGTATAAGACCTCCTGCAGCCTGAGCACAGTTATTAGGATGGCAAGTACTAGAAAACTGAAAAGTAGCTAGTACTCTGACTATATGGATATGGAAGAAAGAACCCCTTTCATACTGTTGCTAGAATATAAATTTAGTACAGCGATTTTTTTTAAATAGCACCAGAGCTCTTTAAAAACTAAACATACAACTATCATATGATGCAGTGATAATAATTCTGGTATACAGCTAAAGGAATTGGAATCACTGTGTTAAATAAATGACTTCATTTTCATATTTATGTGGCAGCATTCACTGTAGCCAAGATAAGAAAACAAGTGTCATTTGGATCAAGAGGGATTCCTCCCAGCTTCAGGACACTCAGCTACTCCGAGAGACTACACCCCTAAATTTAGACAGCTCTCTAACAGGATAACACCAAGGTACTGATGTTCGTGAGACACTCCAAGACAACTCAAACAGGCCAGCTGTGGGATCCTCCTGTCAGGCAGTTCTGAAACACAGGACCGGGGAAATATCAGAGGGGCAACCAAAACCCAACCACATGAAATCTACATGGAGGAATCTTACAAGTCATTTTAACAAGGTAAGATAGACACACACACAATTTTACACAACATAACTTAGCAACTTAGCTAGACCCTGTCTCAACAAAAATAAAAATAAAAAGTACTGATGTAGCCCCAGAAGAACCATTACCAACATTAAGCTTCTCTTCTTGTCACCAAGATTTTTACAAAGAACAACAGCAGGATTTTTTTTTTTTTTTCAGAGCTGTGGTTTGAGCTTCCTTTCTTGTAAAAGCCAGGTCTGCTGACAAATGTCACACACTCTGTCTCAAGACAGCTTGCTGTACAAAAATTTCTGTTTTCCTTGGGAAAAACTTGTGAAACCTCTGTCTAAACTAAAATATGGGACCACGCACTGACTATAAATCTCAGAGAATTTCCCTACCAGGGTCCCCGCGTTGCTCCCTCTGGAGGCTGCAACTTAAGTAAACCTGCTGCCCGCGAATTCCTCAGGTGCCGCCCCCTCCGCCCTACATCAGAACCAGGGATGGAGCTCCTGGTAAAGCACCCTGCAGAAGGAAGGTTGGGAAGGAAGGATAAAAAGCAAGAAAGCCAGCTAGCTCAGGAGGACGGCGGCAGCGAGGCCCAGAGCCACTGCTCCTCGCCTGCAGGAAAATCCCACGTGGAGAGACTTCTCCGACCGCCGTCCCACCTGTCAATCACCACCCATCTGGGAAGACCCGGCTGCTGGCGCTCTAGGGCCAGCTGAGGGGTGCAGCAGGCTGGGCAGGAGCTCCGCTGCCGGCACGCTCCCTACCTGCTGGCCAGGGGGACTGAGGGGACGCTGCCAGGAGGAGGGCTCAGGCCGCGGACCCCGGAGCAGCTCCTGGCCCCACCGCAGCCGTCCCGCGGTTCCAATGACCTCCCTCCCCGGGCTCAACAGGCCCCGCCACACTCACCATTTCCTGGCGCTCGGGAGTCGGGCGGCCACCAGGGATCTTCAGCACCCGCAGGGCAAAGCCAGCGAGACCCCAGGGCTGGCAACAGAAGCCGAGAGCCAGATCGCAGGACTGGTGGACCGGGAGACAGGGCTCCCCACCTCCGAGCCCCGTGGGCAGATCGCGGAAGCCGCCCTGTCCTCGCTGGCTGTGCGGGGATTGGACGGTTCTTCCCGAGTGCTCTCCACTGCACAGGGCTGCAGACCCGCCCCGCAGGCTGAGCCCAGAGAGCCTTCTTTCTGAGTGACAGTAGACGACATCCAACCCAGGAATCAGTGAGGCCAGGATGACAGATTCCTGGTGACAGCTTTTATTTTTCCTCCTGAGGTCTGCGAATTGGACAAGAGGGCCTCAGACTACAGGTAATCGAAGGCAAAGTTTCCTCTTAGAAGAGTGATCTAGCAGCTCCAGAGGAACATGTGCGTTGAACCTCGCATATAAGGTGACTTCTGCATAGTATTCACGAGTAGAAATAATATAATGACAAATACTGCAAAATTTTGTAGAACTTTTCTTCTCCCTCTTGTGAGGTGATAAATTGAGCTTTAAACTGGGAAGCAATCCGATAAGGCAGCAATATCCAATGAAAATCATATGTGAAGTACAAGAGTAATTTAAAGTTGTCTAATATTCACATTAAAAAATTAAAAGAAACAGGTGAAACTGATTGTAATGGCATAAACCAATATATCCAGAACAGTAACTATCCTTATGTTGATGTAGCCCAAAAGAATGTCAGCAGAGTTTGTTGTTGTTGTTGTTGTTGTTGTTTCTTGTCAGAGAGCTCAGGTGGTTTGAGCTTCCTCTTTCTTGTAAATGCCCAGTTTGCAGACAAATGTAACAGACTCTGTTTCAAGAGGGCTTGCTGTACAAAATTTATTATTTGTTTTCCCTGGTAAAAACCATGAAACCTATGCTTACCTAAAATTATGGGACAAAGAGTAACTGCTATGTTACCACCCACTGTTATACAAACAACCACTGAGGATAAATCTCAAAGAATTTCCTGTCTCTGGAGCCAGTGACTTTTCTTCTTTAGCCCCTCTAGACTGCTGCAGTTTAAATAAACCTTCTTCCGGCAAATCCCTCAGGTGTCCAGCCTCCTCTGACCTACATCAATGTGACCCACAGAAACTTACTTATCAAGTATATGTGGTTTTGGAACTATGTCCCCAAACTCTCTGGATTCTAAGCTTCCAGCATATCTCAGTTTGCAAAGAAACCTTAATCCAGATTTGACACCTGAGGGTCCCCTGACTTCAGGAGGGGAAAGGGCCTAGTCACCTTGTTTTTATGCTAGAGGTGAGAGACACAGTTTCTTAATAATATTTCTCCATAGACCCAAAGGCCAAGGGAGACAGTGCCCTGAGCAAGCACAGGAAACTATCCAAAAGTAAATCACTTTTTCCCACTTGAAAGTGGCCACAGGTCCATCCCATTGCAGCCATCGGACAGCAAACAAAGGAAAATGGGGTCCCAGGAAGTGGGGGACACATGTCTTCAGATCTGTCCACAGGCTTGACTCTATTGTTTCAAACATGAAATGAATACTTCTTATTTGACAATTTGGCCTTAGACCTAATGGCCAGGCTATGATGTCTGTTTCATCCTGTGGTCCAACCCCCATAGCTAATTAGCAGCTGGACTGGGCTCAGCATGAGTTGTACCTTATTCCAAAGCCAAAACTCCTCCACCAGACCAAAAGACTCATGCAACATTGCTTATTCTCAAAAGACTTGGAAAGAGACAAATATTCAAAAAAAAAAAAAAAAAAACACCAGCACTTGTGATTATATGGATATGGAACACAGTACTATGTGTTACACACAATAACACAAATGGAACCTTCTTATATACTGAGTCATCATGAGACTCCAATTCCAGGATCCAGGGAACCTTGGTTCAGTTTACATCAAGGGCACACACCAGCTAGAATTAATTTCAACCAGCTAGAATTCATTTCATCTGCCACCAGGATGAGAGATCAGCCAAAAGTAAAAATAATGCCAATTCCCAATGCCAATTGGTGGCAATGTCACTTCTGCAGCTCCAACATGACTATAATCTGCCTGTAGCTATCAAAATGTTATATGTGCATATCCTTTCAATTAGTATTTTTTTCCCTTGGATTCTATCCTCATCAAGATACTAGTTTATGTTGTCATTTGAATTGTGTCCCCTCCCCAAATCTCATGTTGATGTTCTAAATACTCAGTGCCTCAGACTGTGACTCTATTTGAATGTTTCTCAAAGACATATTAATGTTAATCCACTTAATTAGTGTGGGGTCTAATACAATTGAATCCACTTTCCACATATAAGAAATGACAAAACACAGAGAAGGATAGGAAAACTGTTGTTCAAACAGTAATAGAAGATGTAAATGTACCTCTCAAAGAGTGGGCCTCAAAAGAAATAACTCTAGCAAGCAACTTGATATATAGGCTCCAGAATGAGGACAAAATAATTTTCTATCCTGAAGCCCACTATCTGTGACACTGCCATATGACAGCCCTAAGAAACAGATTGCAGCCCACTGTGACACATACACTGTCCCTGTAGCATGGCTGATGAAGGTACAATTGGATTACATCATGTTCTACCAGCATTGAGAGGCTGAACTGCTGCAAGAAGTGGCACTTTTTACTGGAATATTTTGAAGGCAGGTGAGAAGACAACTCCAGGTGATGCCATAGTGATTTGTCTTGTGATACATCATAGTTCCAAAAAAATATGTAACAGAGTTTAACCACTTTTGTTTGCGTAACCTCGCTCTTCTTTGTGTAAATGCTTTCCTGGTAAGGCTGTTTGTTTTTAAGTCTTCTAAAAGGAGTAGATTGCTACATGGGCTACCTGGGGCCCAAAATAAGGCAAAAACTAGCAACAGTAAAAAACATACCCATTGCCCAGTACAAATTGAAATGATGCCAAATTATTTCTCTGTTATTTCTACATACATGTTATCTGGAGCTTTAAATCAAATAGGTTACCAGGGGAAGGAGTACAGTACAGATTCCTTTGGGAACAAAAATTCAGGTCAACCAAGTGATAAAGTTCTAGGACAGAGCTTAGAGAAGTTCCCATACTTGGGTATTGGTACTGGTCCTATCCTGGCCATCTCAAGTACCTGCCTGTGGAGACCCTTCTCCACAAGGATCATCTAACCCCAAACCAGAGACATTATTGTTGGTTGTGTATGCACTTGCTTTTTCCCCAAGAGATAGCATTAACAAACAGCTCCCTGATAATCTGCAAGGAACTCTTCAAAGAGATCACCTGATATTCAGTATAACATATAACACTGGCCACCCTGGCTGGCCCCATGGGGGACACTCCCATTGAAAAAGTTTATATCCAGATCAGGTATATATAAATATATGTATAGATCTCCATCCAGGGGTGACACCAGATCACAGAATTAAGATCCCTAGATAAATACCTGAGTAGAAAAATCACTATCCCATGCTTAAATATCAACTCTGGCCAGTCAGGTCCAGTGGTATTAATATAAAAGACCACAGAGTTCCAACATCTGGTAACCTCTTCCTGTCATTGCAGGTCGCCTGCAATTACCCTGTATAAACACCATACACACACAGAGAGAGAGACAGAGAGACAGAGAGAGACAGAGAGAGAGACAGAGAGAGACAGAGAAGGAGGGGGAAGAGAAGGAGGAGGAAGAGGAGGAGAAGGAGACAGAGAAGGAGGGGGAAGAGGAGGAGGAGGAGGAGGAGGAGGAGGAGGAGGAGGAGGAGGAGGATGGAGGTGAAGGACTTCCTCAATGTGGTCACAGATGAGGGCTTGCCTGGACTGGTCTCCTCTGGCCTGCCCTCTTTTACCTGGGGGTGCCTCCTAATAAATGACCATAGGGTCTGTTATAGGGCTGAGTGAACCTCAAAAAATGCTCCCACTCTGGACCTTTTTGTGGGTTTAACCTTGGAAGTTTTGGACACATCAGAAAACATCTTACTCCCGTGAGCATCTCCCTTCATGTGAGCTGGATGAGGGACTGTCTCAGAGTATGTGCCTGGTTACCAGAGTTCTAAGATCATTGTGTTCTAATGCCAAAACCCTGAGGCCCTTCTGCAATGTTTAGTTCACTGAGCCTCTTCCTATAATTGCCTCCCCAGGTGCCCTTTGGGCTACTGGCTTTTCATCTTAACTAAATAAAATTATGCAAATACAATGGCTTTGCAACCCCTTGGGAAGTCATCAGTGCAGCCAAAGACCTTAGGTTTTTTTATTTTTTAGTTGTAGATTGACACAATACCTTTATTTTATTTGTTTATGTGGTGCTGAGGATCAAACCCAGTGTTCCACACATGTGAGGCAAGTGCTCTACCACTGAGCCACAACCCCAACCCCAAGGACTTTGGTTTAAGGAGTAAGATTTGGGTTCAGAAATTCTATTTTCTTACCATTACTGTGATGCTAGAGATTTATTGTGCCTTTCCAACTTTCCCAACACAGACAATGGGGAAATCATTGGCATCTACTCCTGAGGAGATCATAAGTGTAAGAAGAAACCCATGCAATTCACGTTTTTCTATCCGGCAGAGAAAACTTCAAAACATGGAGAGGTGAGAATTACAATGGGTGAGAAACACCATGAAATAACCTCTAGCAGGCCTGAGACCCAGCAATATGATCTTGGGCAAATCACTTCTCCTCTGGGACTAATTTTCAATTCTGCATCAAGAAGATGCTTACTGAAATCAAATGAACCTTAGATATGGTGATCCTCTGACAATAAGCCGTGCAATGTTATCCTTCTATTTTCTTTTTTTAAATTTTTAATTGATTTTTTAAAAAAATGATAGCAAAATGCATTACAATTCTTATTACACATATACAGCACAGTTTTTCATATCTCTATTTGTATATAAATTATGTTGACACCAATTTGTGTCTTCATACATGTACTTTGGATAATGATGTCCATCACATTCCACCATCCTTACTTAACCCCTGCCCCCTCCCTTCCCCTCCCACCCCTCTGCCGTATCTAGAGTTTGTCTATTCTTCCCATGTTCCCTCTCCCTACCCCACTATGAGTCAGCCTCCTTATATCAGAGAAAACATTTGGCATTTGGTTTTAGGGGATTGGCTAACTTCATTAGCATTATCTTCTCCAATGCCATCCATTTACCTGAAAATGCCATGATTTTATTCTCTTTTATTGCTGAGTAATATTGCATTGTGTATATATGCCACACTTTTTTTTATCCATTCATCCATTGAAGGGTATCTAAGTTGGTTCCACAGTTTAGCTTTTGTGAATTGTGCTGCTATAAACATTGATGTGGCTGTGTCCCTTTAGTATGCTGTTTTTAAGTTCTTTGGGTATAGACCAAGGAGATGGATAGCTGGGTCAAATGTTGATTCCATTCCAAGTTTTCCAAGGAATCTCCATACTGCTTTCCATATTGGCTGCACCAATTTGCAGTCCCACTAGCAATGTGTGAGTGTACATTTTTCCCCCACATCCTTGCCAACACTTATTGTTTGTCTTCATAATAGCTGCCATTATGACTGGAGTGAGATGATATTCTAGAGTAGTTTTGATTTGCATTTCTCTAATTGCTAGAAATGATGAATATTTTTCATATATTTGTTGATTGATTGTATATCCTCTTCTGAGAAGTGTCTGTTCAGGTCCTTGGCTCATAAGAGACCCAGAATAGCTAAAGCAATCCTTAGCAGGAAGAGTGAAGCAGATAGCATCACTATACCAGAACTTAAACTATACTACAGAGCAATAGAAACAAAACAACATGATATTGGCACCAAAATAGACTGGTAGACCAATGGTACAGAATAGAGGACAAAAAGACTAACCCGCAAAATTACAATTATCTTATGTTAGACAAAGGTGCCAAAAACATGCATTGGAGAAAAGATAGCCTCTTCAACAAACGGTGCTAAGGAAACTGAAAATCCATATGCAACAAAATTAAATTAAACCCCTCTCTCTCACCATGCAAAAAACTCAACTCAAAGTGGATCAAGGACCTAGGAATTAAACCACATACTCTGCATCTAAGAAAAAGTAGGCCCTAAACTTCATCACGTGGGATTAGGCCCCAACTTCCTTAATAAGACTTCTTAGCACAAGAATTAAAACCAAGAATCAATAAATGGGATGGATTCAAACTAAAAAGTTTCTTCTCAGCAAAAGAAACAATCTGTGAGGTGAACAGAGAGCCTACATCCTGGGAGAAAACCTTTACCCCTCACACATCAGATAGAGCACTAATCTCTAGGGTATATGAAGAACTCAAAAAGCTAAGCACCAAAAAAACAAATAACCCAACCAATATCCTGCTATTTTCACAATTGGATGTGTGTCACAGCCACTCAATACATCCTAATACTAAGCAGTTAGTTTCTCAAATGTCAACTATAGTGTGCCAAAAAATTGAGGGGATGCTGTTTCTCTATCAGAAGATACAGTTGGTTCAAACAAAGCCCCCAGACTAGATAGCCTAAGAAAACATCAATTTATTTTTAACACTTCTGGAGCATGGAAGGGGTTCAGCAATATCTCTCTTTCTGGAGACTCACATTGCTCTGAAGGACTTTTAGGGAACTCAAAGTCTTGTTTTCCACATAAAATCAGAGTGCAGTGTGGTCTCCATGGAGAAATAAGGCCAGCACTTCCTGAGCATGAAGTATCCAATTAAAGCACCCAGCTCCTATGGAAAGGAACTGAAGCTCCATCTTTTCTTGTCCTCTTTTACACAAGGTTAATGGACTCGTCTCAATTTTATATATGTAGAATATAAAATCCTATTTCTGTCTTTCCTAGACCCTTGGAAACCTTTTGTGTCCTCCTGTCCATTTGCTTGTCCTTGGGCTAATAAAACACATAAAACATATCACTAACCCATGGCTGACTTACTTCTAACTATGATTTTTTCCAACAGTTACTACTCTATTGTCTTCTACTTCTCTGACCCCAACTTCATGGGGCCAACCAACCTGAAAGTTGTTTGTGTATGTATGTGGGTATGTGTGAAGGCATATATGTGTGCATGCACATGTGTGTATGTTTATGTGCCTATATGTAGGTAAGAAAAGGAAAATGGCTCATATAAAGAGGGATGTGAAAAGGGGTTTCCAGAATAATAGGTAATATATTTTCAAATCAAACATATGGGAGGGGGCAGATCCCTACTGTACTCTGCTCACCTGTACTCTGGACCAGTCCCTTTCAATGTCTGGGCCTCAGATTCCTGATAATACAATAAGGTGTTGGATGTGAACCAGCATAAGTATGTACTGAAGGAGGACATGGGTGTGGGCTCTCTACATACTGCAAGAGGTGATAATGTGGGCCAGGCTGGCACATGCAGGTTACAGGCCTTCTGACATGGCTTCTGCAGATGGATGTGAGGCTCGGTGGCATCTTTGGTGACATCTCTTAGAGATGGAAATAGACTACAGCTATTGCTCAATGATTCCACTCTTAGGCCTATACCCAATGGAAATGCCAGATCTATTTTACAGCACCAAACACCTATGCAAAATGGACACAGATCTTGACTCTTAATACAATCTCCATGCATTTACCCCACAACCAGACTCCACCTGCTGTGAATAATAAGAGATGATTTGGAAGGAAAACCTAGGCAACCCACCGGTAGGGCAAGAATGGGCAAGTATCTAACTAGCCTTTTCACAGAAAGATACAAACTTGACCTTGTATATATGAAAAGGTTCTCCACGTTAATAATTAAATTCAAATTAAAACCACAATGCAGGGCTGGGGGTTAAACTTGGGTGGTAAAGCACCTGTTTGGTATGTGTAAGCCCTGGTTTAATCTTAGTGCCACACACATTGAAAAGAAAAACCACAATGTGACACAAATACACAATGGCTTAATACCCTTGATAAGAATTGTAAGAATGTTGAGCAAGTAAAATCTCACAGACTGCCATGTATATAAATGGTCACAACCACTTCCAAAATCTCTTTGGTGGCATCTCTTAGACATGGAAGTAGACTGTTGCTGTTTATTGCTCAATGATTCCCCTCTTAGGCACATACCTAAAGGAAATGCCTGCCTGTGTTCACTATGTGAAAGAATGTCACAGCAGAATTATGTACAAACTGGTAACAATCCAAATCTGTGTTAGTAATGAAAGAATAAATAACATTGTCTTGATATTTTTAAGAGAGATTCTGCACAGAATTGAAAATAAAGTACTGCCACATTCACAGGATCTAGAAAACTTGTGATTATCATTGTTGGCTTCACTGGACCATATGTTACAAGATTGGGGTCCAGATATCCTACATCTGTGGTAAGCCAGTCACCTCCAGAGAGACTTTTATTATCCTGAGTTGTCCCTATTTAGTGTTTTATAAAATTTTATTATTTGTGTAGGTTGCTGGAAGAATAGTGATTGATCACATAATAATCTCAGATTATTCCTTTAAAAGCCTCTTGAGGCTAGATAGCCATACAGGATCAGGTTTAACTTTGTCTAAAGAAAATTATAAACAAATAAATATGACATATCGTTGAACACCTTGATAACACAACTAAGATTTCAAAATTGTATCTTGTTATGAGGAGAGACACATTCTTTTTGGATTTATGTGAATAAATTCATATCCTTGATGTAATACTTATGAATAATTTTCAAATCTTAGATTAAGGAGGGAATGAGGTAAATATGTCCACTTTTGTTCACAAAAGCACACCTTACTCTGTTAGAACACTTTCACTTGTATAAAATACTCAAGGCAAGTCAACTTTACAATGAGAAGGGGTTTATTTTGCTCACAGTTTTGAAGATTCTATGGCATGGCAGCTAGACCAAGTGGATTCTGCTAAGGGCTCTCTTGGTTGCTTCCAATCCTGGTGGATGGCAACAGGAGGAAGCCTGGGGGACTAGAGATTCCCACCACTGTTCAGGAAGCCTGCATGGGAGATGGTTTGAGATTTTATACCACGTCTCATGGACACACACTGAGATGAGTAAGGACAGAGAACTGCAAAAGGGGAAACAACCCAGCTTTGGATAAAAGCAGATGGCCTGAGAAGAGAGAAAACTGCAACCTCTTAGGATCTGGACAGAGCAGCAGCTAAATTCTGACTAAAAAGGCTGAATGTCCTGGGCTCCCAGGCTGTACTGCAGCTGCACCACAAGCAGCAGGGGTCATGGCCACATAGACATAAATATAAGCCACTTGGCTACCCTCAGAGCCAAGGTCCAAACCCAGGCCATGACTGTCGCTCAGGCCAGGGTAGCTGAGGAGAGACCAAACCTGCAGTGCAAGCTCCCCACCATGTGTCCTGAACCTCTGAGCTTTTGCCTGAAAGCACATGGCTCTCAATGGAATCCTGCCTTCTGCTCAGAGCTCAGGAGGTACAATGGCCTCCAGGAGTCCCCATGTATGTAGGCACTTCTTTCATAGCCATGCTGGTTTCTGCAGGAAAAAGGCCCCTAAACATCTCTGTATGGACTAGATTTGTTTGTGCACACTTGTAATACCAGCAACTGCAAAGGTTGAAGAAAGAGAATTGCAGTTTGAGGCTAGCCTCAGAAACCTAGTGAGGCCCTAATCAACTTGGAGAGGCTCTTATGGGGAATCTGTGGCAAAATAAAACATAAAATGGTCTAGGAATGTGGTCCAGTAGTTAAGGTACCTTGGGTTCAATTCCTGATACAAAAAAAAAAAAAAAAACTGTATTGTCCTTGTGATCTTCATTGTGCAGAGTAACCTGGCCATAGAGAAGAAGGTTGATGTGTGGCAGGAGCATACTGAAAGGAACCCCTCACAGCTAGTTGACATTGTCTTTAAAGTAAAGCCTGGGCAACTGAGGCAGGCTCATGCTGTGTTGGCAGCCACCAAAAAGAGTTCATTCAAGAAGCCTAGAGAAAAGTATGGAAGGGCCTCCCTCCATTAAAAATACACCTACAGTGAGAAGAGCCCCACCAGGAGTCTCTGGGTACAACTGACAGTGGGGCCTCACCCAAAGTTGATGACATTGTGATAAAGATAATAGTGACAATTCAGGCTCAACCACATCCTGTGCTCCAGCCCCTGGAATGCAACCAGAGAAATGAAGACTAGGGCAGAGTTTTATACATGCCAGCTTGCCCAATGCAGCTTCTGGATGAGATCTGCTGTGTAAAATAAGTACTTAGATGACCTTTTCACCCAAACAAGCCATGACTCCACTTGTAAGTGCCACCAGAACTTAGAGCCAACCCCAACCAAGAATACTGCCTTTCAAATACTACTTCACACAAAATCACCCCACCAGATATAAGGCATCCACTAAAATGATCTTTTTAAAAAAAAAAAGTCACCTATCTGAAATTCCAGATTAGCCAATGAACCCGAATTCAATATCAAGTTGAAAACAGCCTATAGTAAGAAATCAGGGACCAGAGACAGTTCATGTGCTCCTGGGAATGTCACGGTTCTGCCATACTTGGGTCCCTAATTTTAGACTAAAAACTAAATGTCTATCTGAGGCCCAAAAGGAACAGAAATCAAACATGTGATTTGTACACCAGAAAGCTAAGCTGCCACTGAGAGGTTAAGACAAAGCCCAATGAGAGCCCTGCCCTAGGCCTGCCAGACTCACAAGGGAGTTGTCTATATAAGAATGAGAATAAAGGTACAGCATTGAAGGGCAGGTTTATTTTAGTTCAATAAACTACAATATCTTAAAGGTATTAGCGTATTAATATTAATGAATTAATTAAATACAACCACTTTGGAAAACACCATGAAGTCTCCTCAAAAGACTAGAAATGGAGCCACCATATGCCCCAGCTGCCCTGCTCCTTTGTGTTTACCCAAAAGAACTGAAATAAGCATACTGTACGGATACAGCAAGGTTGCTGTAGCAGAGCAGTTCACACAGCCAAGTTATGGGATCAGTCCAGAACCTGGGAAGAGATGAATGGATACAGAAAACGTGGTATATATAAACACAACGTAGTTTTTCCATTAAGAATGAAATTATGGAGCAGGTTTGAAGCTCAGTGTAGAGCACTTGCCTAGCATGTGTGAGGTACTGGGTTTGATTCTCAACACCACATATAATTAAGTAAAATTAAGATCCATCAGCTAAAAAATATTTTTTGATTATGGCATTTTTCTGGTAAATGGATAAAACTGGAAAGCATCATGCTAAGCAATATAAGCTAGACACTGAAAGTCAAGAGTTGAATGTTTTCTCTAATATGTGGTCACTAGACCAAAATAAGAGGGAGGAATGGAGGTATCATCTGAGATTAGAGGAGCGATCACGTGAGTAGAAGAAGAGGACTCGGGGCAAGGAAAATGGGACGAGAAATGGGATGAGAAATGGGAGGAATGGTGAACTGAAAACAACCAAGCTACCCTGTGTACATATGTGAACACAGCACAGTGAGATTCCCCTTTAATTTAGCGATATCTATGTAGCAATAACGAAGAACAACTATAAGTAAATAGAGGTAAACCCAGTACAGTAGAGGAAAAGGAAAGCGGGTAGAAAGCAGATGCTGGTGGTGCTTGCTGAGATGTATTGTTTGTAGCTAAATTTCAGGCACTTGAATTTCTTCGTTTCGGCTTCATGGCAACCCTGAGACAGTACAACTTCTCTTCTTGTTTTACAGATGAGAAAACTGAGACCCTGGGAATTAAGTAAGTTTCAAAAGTGGTGAAGTTCAACTTTGCAGTTAAAGCCTAAATGTTTTTAGATGCATCCTATTGTTGTAACTATGCTTAAATTTTTATATGACCAGAGGCATTTTTTTCACCTTGGAATAGAATGAATTTTAATGCTCTAAGGAATTTTAAATATCATTATTTAGACTGTTAATTGTACACCTAAAGAAGTCAAAACCTAGAAAGTCAGTCTGTAAAAATAGCATGTGTAAGAGGTTATGTGCTGCTTTTTTTGCCTAATAACTAATAACTATTGAGTTGAATTTGCAATTGCTTGTTTGAAAATATGGAGCAAAATATTGTGTTTTGTTGGCTTGAAGATTTGTTAATATAATTTATTTTTAAGTTTTTTGGGGAGATAGTCGTGCCTTTTTTATTAGTGCATTACAGTTATACATAATACTAGGATCCATTTTGACATAATTATACATCACACTAAGCAATATAAGCATGGAATATAATTTGCTACAAGTCAGTCCCAGTACTAATGCTATCTTTTCTCCAGTAAAATGTTTTTGGCACCCTTGTCTCATATGAGATAACCATATTAATGTGGGTTTGTCTCTGTGTCCTCTATTCTGTACCACTGGTCTACAAGTCTCTTTTGATGCCAACACCATGCTGCTTTTGTTACTATAGCTCTGTAGAATAGTTTAAGGTCTGGTATTGTGATGCCTCCTACTTCATTTTTCTTGCTAAGGATTGGTTTAGCTACTCTGGGGCTCTGGGTTTTTTAAATAAATTTCATGATTGCTTTTTCTGATTTCCTAGAATAATCTCTGTCCTATGTATACCATGACCATTCACTCAGCAACTGCTACCATAGACCTTTAGACTTCCCTGATGCTAAATATCCATAACTGTCCCTGCCCCACCAGTCAGAGAACAAGGACTTTACATCACTGGCCCCCAAATTTGCCCTCTGTAGGCACAAAGCAGACAGAATGAGTCAATACCCAATACCCCAAATTAATTTAGGCACCAAAACCTTTGGGAGAGGGGATGATAATGGGCAGTCAGATGCAATTTGTAGGAACACAAAATTAAGGGAATAATTCTAAAAAAGGATCTGACTTTTCTGAGCCCCATAGGCTTTCTTTTCCAAGAGACTATTTATCTGCAGCCCTGCGCAGCTTAAGTGGACAGTATAGGTTACTTTCCTCAGCAAAATACCTGTTATCTGCAGGAGAATTCAGCCTGAAATAATGCTAATAAGAGGAACCCAAGTTGCCCTGGAGTGGGAGCCCTTTTGTGAGCCTTACACAAATCAGATCCCAGAACTCAGGCATAAGAATAATTTTCTGTAATAAGATGTTCCAATTAGATACAGTCAGCATGTGCCAAAGTGACCTACAGTGGTCATTGCCTGGAGACATGAAAGTCTGATATCATCCTGCTGTCAGAACAATGAGGGCAGGATATCCCTGGAAACAGCTGAGGAGTGCCAACATTTCAAGCCCATTCTCAGCATCAAACCTGTTGTCTGGTGATGGCTGGAACACCAGGCTCCAGGTTCTGGGCAGGCCCTCATGGGAAGCCTGAGTCTATCTCCTAGTAGCCTCACAACCACCAATCACTACACTGTTGAGCAAGCATCCAAAACAGGCTACAACACTCAGAAGACTGAGGGTATCATGGTCAACTTCTGGAGGGAGTAGGCACCTGGATTCAGGTGGGCCAGAGAAGCTTCAGGCTGAGTGTGGGCAGGTTGGAACTGGAACCTACCCTACTGCTGGGCAGCCCATGGCTGGGGTGAGTCACCTCACCTCTCTGGGCTTCAGTTTCCTCCTCCATGATATAAATGAAATTTAACAATTCATTAGAGTGTCAGGACTACCCTCAGACTGACTCATCACTCATAATTCTGCCTTGAGCATAGACTGCAGTCAGGGGCAGGGTGGAAGGTGGCTTTATGGAGTCGCTCAAGTAAGCTGCTACTTCATCCATTCTTCATGTCCCCACCACAGAGCTCAGCAGCAGAGGCAGCAGCTCCCACTGCAAATTCTGTGACCAACACAACTGCAAATTTTGTACCAGCAGGCAGGAGATCATCAACATGCTCAGAGCACACTCAGCCAGCTTCTGCAGCTCCATTGTGAAGCTAACTGCAGGAGCTTCGTCTCAGGGCCTCCACTGGCCAGGAAAATACCATGACTGATGACAATTTTTACTTTACCTTCTGGTTTCCAGCACTCCCCAATTTACATCCACACAAAGGACCAAGATACCTTGCTTCTGGACATACCTTCTAGAATCCTCTAGAGTCATATGGCAGCCTGGAGTGCCCGGTGGAATCTCAGGTTCTGCTGATGTTGCCATGTTCCACATTTCTGGAAGTTGGCCTACCCAGGGATGACTTACATCAGCTTGACCTCCAGAAATACCCCCTATCTTCAGCCTGGATGAGATTTATGGCTACAACATATACCCCCAGTTTCCATGATTTGTTTCTGCACCTACAACTTCTATCATGACTCTATAAGTGGGTAATTGCTACATCATCCCTGTCAGATGGGTGTGGATAGCAGCAACAAGTAAGAGAGTATCCTGGTGAGCTAGGTGGCATGGATATCCCCTTGATGGTCCCCCTTTTACAAGCAGCTAACACATTCAGAATGCAGTGCACCATCCCTACCCTCCTGGAGATGACCTTCTAGTGCATTGGGAAGGATGGATGGGAATAAAGGAGACACCAGTCAGTGTTAAGGTTCTAAACTGAAAGTAGGAGGGGATCAGAGTGCCAGGCCCCCACTAGGGAGTGTGGCTCTATGTTGGGGACTGCAGCAAGAAACCCAAGATGAGGAGCAGGCTTTTGGGGAGATGAGTCCTTGAAAGTGTTTAGGGCACAGGCTGCACTGTATGGACCTTGACTTACTTGAGGAGTTAGACAGAGCCACTGGAGACTGGAGCAGAGGAGGCAGCCATGACTTTTGACATCATTGTGGTAGATAGGTTGTTTCTGGGAAGGGAGGGAGGAGACTGCTATTGCAGCCATTAGAGAGGAGGCCATAGCAGGCTGGTGACCATGAAGGAAGCCAGCAGTGTCAAAGTCTGCATGGCATTTGAACAGGGAACCAAAAGAGTTTGCTCACAATATGTATGGACATGAAATACGGACAATTGTCCTCCAGGAGTCCAGCTGCAGATGGGCCATTTCAACACAAACCAAAGCTGGTTCAGGTGTACCCCTACACCCCAGGCTCCACTGAGCCTCTGGAGGCCAGCTTTCATAGATGTCATTGAACACTCATATTCTTGACCCTGAGTGCCAGTCTCACCTGTGCTGTGACCGCTATTGTGAAGGTCTCTAGTTGTACAGCCTCTGCCAGCCACCACAGCAGCCTGCATCCCAGTGCTCCCTTAGCATATGGGAGGCAACTGAGCTCCCAGCCTTCATCCCCTCTCTTGGTGGTTGAGACTAGAGTGTCTGTCCCCAGGCTGATAGGTCCTGTTATCTCTGGGGGCATGTGGATCCCATGGGGTGATGGAAGGTGCAGGAGGGCTCTTGAAAGAAAATGAGGCTAGGAACATTTGGGTCACCCTCAGGAAGCAAGAGGAGATGAGGTCTCCACAAAGCAGCTGTGACCCCTGTGCTCAAAGCCAAGGTGGTTCCTGAAGGATTCTGGGCTACTGCAGGAGGACCCATGCCCTGATGCTTCAGCCATCATCCAAGATTATGGACTAACACAACCTGTACAAGGATGAACTTGGGGAATATGAGACACAGCAGATAGTTTCAGAAGGTCTCAGCAGAGAAATAGCATCATGGAGAAATTTATGCCAAATGGGGAGGTGGTAGCATATTGGGGTCAGTACCACTCTTAGTCTCAGGTCAGGTCCAAGAGCCTTGGTCCAGAAAAATTCACCAGGGTGCAGTGAGCCATGTACAGAAAGCAGCCTTTCCTGAGCAGCTCAGGATGTCTCCTCACTGCCCAGCAGCTGCAAGACCTCCCTACCATGTGTTCTCGCCTGGCCCTAAGCAAGCTTCCAAAGCCAATATTACAAAAGAGCAAAGAGAAAAGGCTTTTACAAGGGGAAGGGTGGCCCTGTGACTCACTGGAAGAGATAATTTCCACCTAAGATGGAAAAATGTACATCAGATGGAATCATCACTGCTACGGACCAAATTATCACATGCTAAAACCTGTGCATGGCATGAAAAAATCTCAGTACAGGTAGCTAAGTCAATACTGTAGAAACAGGAAAAAGGACACAATCCAACACAAGTGGACAGGGAGGAAAGGACCAGGAAGAAGATATAGTACCCAGGAGTATGCCCACAGTGACATACTTTCTCCAGCCATGCCCCAATTTCCTCCAGTTTCCACACCTCCCAGTAGTTTTTTTTTTTCAGTTGTAGTTGGACACAATATCTTTATTTCACTTATTTATTTTTATGTGGTGCTGAGGATCGAACCCAGGGTCTCACACATGCAAGGTGAGTGCTCTAACTCTGAGCCACAACCCCAGCCCTCCCAGTAGTTCTTTCAGCTATCAATGGATGAGTCCACTGATGAGGTCAGAGCCCTCATGATCCAATCAGTTTCTACATTTGAGCATTATTGTATTGGGAAACAAGACTTTAACACATAAAACTTTGGGGGCACATTTCCACTCCAAACTATAACCAGCTCCAGGCCAAGTTGGGACACTCTGGAGTCCAAGGCACTTGTAAAAAAAAAGGCATTAGGTGTGTTCAGGGTCTCAGCACAGTCTGTCTTTAGGCAAGAGTCAGTGTGGGTAGCAAGCCAACAGGTCTTGGAGCTGGATTGGAGGAAATCTCAGGTCTGTGGCTCAAACCTGTTCTTAAGGAGGTTCTCAGCTGTGGTATAGATTGTCCTACAGAGTCCCCAGTGAACACTACTGACCACCTTCTGCCCCAGTCCTACCAAAGCAGAAGACTCATGAAAATGCTAACATGTTCTATGCCATGAACTCTCATGATAACTGTTATTTTTGCCTGAAGAAGTGGACCT